CCCGCTCCTCCCGGGGCCCCTTCACACCCCGGGCCTCCGTTTCCCGAGACCACCCATCCCTCGAACCCTCCCTGCTCCCCGGCCACGCATCAGCCGCTAGAAAACTCACGCAAGCATCAAGCACCCCGAGCGACAGCCCCGAGCATCGATCACTCATCGGCCTCCGGCCTGCACTCCGAAGCCGAGGGGCACCCGGACGCGGGGTTGGCAGACCCATCCGCCGCCGCTGCCGCCGCCCCCCCGCCTGCACCCACCCCCAGAGGGAGAAAAGACTCGCGAGGAGCGGAGATGCAGAACAAATCTGACGCGATAAAATGGCATTCCTGGAGCGCGGCACATCACGAGCCAAAGTGGTGCAGCGCCAGCTTGATCACCATGTCCCGGAACTCGGGACACAGACGGGGGTCGATCGTGGCGCAGCCATCCGACGCCAGGAGCCCGCCCGGGGGAGGGGAGCCCGCGCTGGCGGCCCCGGTGCCGGACGCCCCGGACCCGGGCTTACGCCCGTGCTGCGCCCCGAAACGAACGGCGTCCGACTGGAAGAACGCATCGAAGAAGGGATTCACCAACATCCGAGCATAGTACTCGTGCAGCGTGGCGAAGAAGCGCAAGACCGTCCCCTGGGACGGGCCGGCGGTGTAGGATCCGCCACCACCGCCACCGGGCCCGCCGGAAGTGGAGGACCCGGCACCGGCGCCGCCGGGTCCGCCGGCACCGGCCCCAACTCCGGCACCGGTGCCGGATACCGGCGCCTCGTGCATCAGCAAAAAGACTGCCCCTCCAGCCGTCGGGTACGCGCTGACCGCCCAGTTTTGGAACTTGTCCACGCGGAAGAGCAGGCTTCAGGGGCCAAGACGTCAGTGGGAACGGAGGCAGATTGGTGGAAGGGGGAGAAAGGGGGCAGGGAGACGCCGGACCGCGGGCCCGCGAGGGGCGGACACGCCCGGGTCGTAGCATGAGAGCGCAGGAGAAACATGGAGCACAGTGGGCGCGAGGGGGGGGGGGGGGGGGGGGAGAAAAAAGCCCGAGTGCATGACGTACAAGTCCTTCTGTGTCCAGAGGGCTTCGCGGATGTGGTCCAGCGAGGCAAACTGCACCAGCTGATGGAACTGGGGGTAGCCGGCATGCGTGGCCTGGAACTTCTGTGCTGTCTTCGACGCAACCGGCGACTTGTCCGGATGAATGGTGAGTTCGAAGATCGGGGCCGCCGGGCGGACACCCTGCCCGGCATTCGGGCCCCGCGTCTCCGGGCTGACGATCAGCAAGAAGAGCGATCCGGAGACCGGAAGGGAGATTGGCTCATTCATGGGTGGAGAAGCGGAGAGAGGGTGTGTATGGGCGCGTGCGGCTGGAGGGGTGTGTGTGTGTGTGTGTGGCTGGACGAGAAAGAGAGAGAGGGAGAGAGAGAGAGAGAGAGAGAG